TTCTCTGTTTAGCTCTGTACCCCATTTTTTAATTGGATTACTTGATTTATTGCTTTTTAACTTCTTTAGTTCTTTATACACACATGGTATATACTCACTTATTTAGACCTATAAGATATGATAAACATAATGAAATCTATACACCTAAAGAAGATAAACAAGAAAGAGGACCCAGGGTAAGATGATCAATCCTCACTTAAAAAGACAAATAGGATGGACATTAGATGTAGGAGAAAACAAGTAACAGGACAGGAGCCTACCACAGAGAAAGACTCTACCTAGCAGTGTATCAAAGCAGATACTGAGACTCATAACCAAACCTTCGGCAGAGTGCAGGGAATTATATGAAAGAAAGGGAAGTTAATGACCCGGAGACGACAGGAGCTCCACAAGGACCAAATATATCTGGGCACAGGGGTCTTATATGAGACTGTTTCTCCAGCCAAGGGCCATGTATGGATATAACCTAGAACCTATGCTCAGATGTAGCCCGTGGTAGCTCAGTATCCAAGTGGGTACCCTAGTAAGGGGAACAGGGACTATTTCTGACATGAACTCAATGGTTGGCTCTTTGACCTCCCCACCCCCCAAAGGAGGAGCAGCCCTGCTAGGCCACAGAGGGGGACTTTGCAGCCAGTCCTGAAGATACCTGATAAACCAGGGTCAGATGAAAGGGGAGGAGGTCCTCCCCAATCAGTGGACTTGGAAAGGGACAGGGAGGAGATGAGGGAGGGAATGTGGGGTTGGGAGGGAATGAGGGAGCGGGATACAGAGTTAATAAAATGTAACTCAAAAATATACAATGTGTGTGTGTGTGTGTGTGTGTGTGTGTGTGTGTATTTTTTATTTCCTCCCTCTTTCCTTGCCTTCATTTTCTTTTCTCCCTTCCATCTCTCTTTCCTTCTCCCTCCTTTTCCTCCCTTCCTTTTCTTCTCCCTTCCTTCTCTCCTTCTATATTTTCTCCCTCCATCCTTTCCTTACCCCAAGACTTTGCTTATTTGGACTAGAGAGCCACATAGACTGTGTTCTAGACCAGTGGGAACACTGAGAGAGATGGCAGAGGCAGTGCTGTGGGGTGGTTCAAAGGATTTATTGTGCCAAATGTGATATTTGATATCGTCATAACCAATGTGCATCCTGGAGTGTGTTACACCTCTAATGAATCACACACACTGCTGAGTCACATTGTACCCGTGTAAAGGTGAAAGAGGTGGAGAAATGGTGCACATGTGTCCAGAGATGGTGTTCCAGAAACTTCCTGCTTCCTGTGTCTCCCATTCCTGGTACAGTGTCCCACAGAGAATCAAGGTTCCTCCCATGGAGGCTCTGTGGTTTGTTGTACTGACGTGCACCTGCTGGCCCCTTGATACCGGACAAGGAATCCGGCTTCTCAAAGCCTGTCTCCTCTCTGGGAAGTCAGCCATTCCCATTCTCATCATTCGGTATAACCAGAGGAAGCGAGTTGCTGTGACATCCACAGGAGAATGTGCAAGCAAATTGTTCAGCCCCTTTAGCATCAATGTTGTTGTGGAACTATAGCTATTATTGTAATTTCGAACTAAGCAAGACCAATTCAAGCTCCATCCAACTCTTTGACCTTTTTATGGTCTGGTGTCCAGCTTTCTTTTCCATATACTTTCCTTTCCCATCTATACTAGGTGCCAACATTCTTGGAAGGTCTGTAGGTTTCAGTCTCTGCATGGTAAATTTGACATATGCTGTCACATCCTGACTGAGGTCATTTTTTTTCCTCATTAAAGAACTCAGTTACTGTGAATCAGTAGGTTAACAGACAACCATTCAAATATTTCTAAATATCGTATGTCCTGATAGTTTACGGTGCATAGCTATATAAAAATAGCTTTTAAATAATCCCACTAGCACACACAGATAAACAGGAAGATAAGGAAAAAACGTGCTATTCTGTAATGACTGTCTGGCTTTTGTTTGTTTTGATATTATAATAGTTCTTTAAAATACCAAGTGGCTTGTTCTGCCACTGTTTTTGGATCTGTACATGACTGTGGCTGTAGCTCATCTGTTGAGGTTGTTTGAACATTGTGCCAAGGGGGAAGCATGGAAGAAAGCTATAAGCAAGTTGTGGGGTTTTTTTTGTTTTGTTTTTGTTTTTGTTTTTATAATGTAACACCACTTGAAGCTGATTGAGGGGCCAGGTGTTTTAGAATTAAGGCTGATATTATTAGTCATTGAAGCCATATGATCTTAGTGACTGTTTGAAAAAGAGGGGTCACTGAGGTATTTGACTAAGCGGTAGAGCATCTATTTAGAATGCAGGAGACCCTGGGTTCACTCCCTAACACATAAAAAAAGGAAACAAAATTGCTCACAAAAATATAAAATTATATATATATATATATATATATATATAAAATGGTCACAAGAATTTATATATATATGTATATATATGTATGTGTATATAGGTTTAACTATGCATGCATATGTATATATGTATATCTATGTATGTGTGTACATATATGTGTACAAAATGGTCACAAGAATTAGCATTATCCATGTATATATGTATGCATGTGTATATATGTATATCTATGCATGTGGTTGTACATTTATACATATAAAGTGGTCACAAGATCATTATTGGTTCCTATGAGTATCAAGATGAGAATAAGACCAACATTACTAATTCTGTGTCACCTATTTGGCTGACTTAGTTGAAAAATTTCAGACTTCTTAGTGTCAACATTTTAAGCTATAAAATAATACAGTAAATGATGGAAATGAGAAACCAACGTTGCTAAAGAAAAATTGCTAAAGAAGCCTGCGCTCCAGACAGGCTTGATATTATGAGCACGTCTTGCTTTGTGGCTAGCAATTCAACAGGCTCTATTTTTAGCAGAAGCTGAAATTCTGTTCTCCGCTCCATCATCTCCTCACTTCACCCTTCTCATCCTGCTCACAGTGCATAGATTTGCATGCTGTTTGACTGTGGCATATTCTTAGGCATGCCTTGATGCCAATCACTTCAGTAGCCATTTTCCCCCTCTTGGGAGCAAACCATTATTTAATGTACTATACCCATAATCGAAATGCTACTCGTATGAAAAATGTTAGCAGTTGTGAAAGTTTTTGCTAATTAGGTAAGTGTATATATGCAAATGTCTATGTATGTGTGTGCTTGAGTGTGTGTGTGTGTGTGTGTGTGTGTGTATGTGTGTTTACTTTGGCACAGTACAAAAAGTCATGGCATGTTTTTACCTGTTATAATTTAGTTTCAACGGATCCTGAGGAAAAAACTTAAACTGGCTTTTGGGAAGTTCTAAAAATTAGTATTCCAAGAAAAAAATTTTTTTTTTAAAGTTAAGTCTATACATTAACCTCTGAACCATGTCTTTGACATCATTTCTTCCATTCACCTGTCAAGGACTATTCTACTACGAATTTAACACTTAGCAGGCAGTCAAAGGCAGTTTTAACTACAAATGTAATTCAAAGTTAGATGTTTATTTTTTATAATATTTACCATTTTCTGCAATTTTTATCATTAATTCATTGCCCATTCCCTCCAGTGAAATTTAAGCCCCATCAGGCCAAGTGCCTTTGGCTTGCTTTGTCATAATCATACCCTCTGAGTCTTTGAAGGTAGTCAGTGTTTTCTCATTTATTGTACAAAGACTAGAAATACCACGTTTGCTTACAACGTGCTGCATCTGTAATGTTTCCCTTAAAAAGCTATGCATTCCATTTAGCATGTCAGGATTTGCAGATACCACTGTGAGTTATGAATGCATAAGATATAAGCTCTTAAGTACTTTGGTTAGAGTCATTCCAGAGACATGAGATGTGTGAGAGAATTTGGTGGACAGTGATCATTTCCTCTTACTATCAACTTCAGTGTTGTAATGGTCTTTGGAGGACTTAGAGATTTAAACTTTCCTTTTACCTTAAGAAGCACACACTGTATGGACATCAGGTTAGCTAGGACTGACTCTAAGGTTGTGATGGCATTTATATGAAAGTAGTAACATGTAAAACTCGAATCCCACGTCCCTATACATTTCTTAGCTACCACTTAGGCTGGTTAGAAGCTTTGGGAGTGAAAGCATGCCTTCTTTCTTCCTGCTGGTCCCTCAGTTCAGTTTGGAATATAACCCAAGCAGATCTCCTGAGATAGTGAATCATGAAATTCATGAAATGTGTCCTTTTCTAATGAGCTGGGTCTGAGACCAAGGGGATTTCAAGTGAAACCGAAAAAAAAAATGTGATTTCTCAGCAAACCACAGCAGGATACGGAGAAGGATAATTAAAATGCAAATTCTAAGCATAGCTACAGTAAAGGGAAGGAAAACACAGCATTTAATAAACAAGGTTTTCTACTCTGATTGTGGCAGTTCTAAAATAATTATTTATCTCTGGTAACATGGAGGTTGAAAATTTTCCTATTGCTTAATTTCCTATTTCTCTATAACATTTTCTAAGAACAGCAAGTAGATGAAGTTTTAATATAAAGCTTATATATAAAAAATTAAATATATATGTATATAATCAGTAGTTCTTTAGCGAGGGATACATGCTTATCTAGTGGAAGGCATATAAGAAAATAAGGGTCTGTGTGCGTATCTCAGCCAGTGGCAGACCACCTGCTCACCCCTGTAAAGGCCTGGAGTCAGATGCCAGCACAGAAGAAAAATGAAGGGATTATGTGCGGCCAATGAGACACAGCAATAAGATTCAAAAGACAAGTAAGACACAAACCCTGAGTCATTTGTAGGATATGAAGTCATCAGCACCTGTAATCCTGTAACCTAAGATTACCTTTCCCAGGCTTCCTTTGGAAGCAAGCACACCACAGTTGTCAGAACATATGTTTGGTTTAGAGGATAAGGTCTTAGAACTACCATGGGCGGAACCTATGCGCGAATCTCTCCCTCTGCCCCAAACGTTAGTGAATATTCTTTCTAAGCAACAAAATTGCATGGCAGAAAACACGTTTGTTATGATATTTTCTATAGTAACACATTTACCCAGGACCCACGGTAATATCATCCATTCCACGATGGTTGGTGGTGGACCTTGCCTGTTCAAGTCTGACCTGTCGATGTGCTGAGAGGCAAGCAGCAGCAGGAACAAAAAGGTCAAATAGGAGGCTGTGTGGCAGATAAACTTGATAAATGGCTTTCTGATGAACAGTCCAAGTGGGCTTTTAGGGGCTATCAGGTAGCACACGGAGAAGACGGGGAAAAGTAGTCCTATTATGAAACACGTCACCATCTTCACTGCCCAGTGTCTTCTCCTCCAGCCTGGGAACTCGTCGTACCAGCGGGACGCAAGCAGCTGCTGGCAGTTGGGCTGGGCAACAAACTAGGAAGAAAGGAGAATGGAAATTAAGTCTCTGTTACCTGTAAGGACCTCAGCTCATGGGGAAAAACTCAGAACTGCCTTTATCCTTTAGCATGTAAAAAGATAATGACAACCTTTACTATTTTTCTTAATTTCGTGTTCAAACCAATTTCAAATGAAACATAAATAAAACAGTATTATAATTTAAAGACATTAGCTGTGGCTTACTTGACCTTAGAACACTATAACCAAATCTCTTGAGTCATTCTAAGAAAGACCATATAATGGACACCTGTTTCACTCAAGGCACAGCGCTGAGTGCTTAAACATAAATGAAGTCAAAATAGGGAGCCTGTACTTGAAGCGGAGACAGGGAAGGAGTAAGAATGCACACAGGGTTCTAGCTTTATTCTCTATTGTTGTGATAATACGCTTGAAGAGGAAGTGATTTATTTAGCTCATAACTTACAGTCCAGTATGTAGGGAAGCCAGGGAAGGAACCTGGTAACTCAGAAACCATTGACAAATGATGTTTGTTGGTTTGTTCATCTGTCTTTCTTCTTCTTTTTTAAAAAGATTTATTTATTTATTATGTAAACAATGTTCTGCCTGCATGTGTGCCAGTGCACCAGAGGAGGGCACCAGATCTCACTATAGATGGTTATGAGCATGTGGTTGCTGGGAATTGAACTCAGGATGTCTGGAAGAGCAGACAGTGCTTTTAACCTCTGAGTCATCTCTCGAGCCCCTCGTCTCTCCTTCTTACTAAGCCCAAAGCTCCCTACCCAGAGGTGGTGCTCACAGCAGGGTCCTCCTAAATCAATTATCGATTTAGAAACTGCCCTACAGACATTCCCACAGAGCAATCTGATGGAGGCTCTTCTTTATTTGACAGTCCCAGGTATATCTAGGTTCCTATCAAGTTGACAAAAACTACCCAACACACATAGGATATACTACCTACAAAATATGGCCAAATATTTAAGAAAACTTACAGATATAGAAAATAAAATTAAAATGTTAACATCACAATTTTTTGTTTTAGTTATTTATCATGGTATTATGCATGATTCTCATTTTACTTTTTAATATTTTCTGTCATAAACATGTATGAATTTTGCTCTCATGAAAGAAATATATATTCAGCCAAGTTCAGTTAATAGAAAAATAACATAAAATATTTTAAACAAGCTAAGAAACATCATCGTCGCTGGGTTTAATATTATAAAAATCACTAGGCATATTATCACATAGACTAATCAATTATCATATACAAGCCATTTCACAAACATTTCACCCCAGTAACGTACTTACGATGTCAGACAGATACTGCTTTCTCTTTTTAAAAGAGAAGGGAAGAGAGGTTTTAAGACATCTCTATAAATATCCAACATTTCTGATCAAGATGGGGTGTTTAAATATGCTGTCCAGAGTTTCTACACATGAGTTTTTTTCTTCACTGTGACTGACAGCCCAGCAGCACATAAATGGAGCTGCAGTGGTCAGAGATGCCTTTCAGAAGAAAGCTATCTAAGATAAGGCATGCAGAGGAGGGACAGCCTACACCGGTGGTGAAGTGGACAGTGGGCGTGAGGGATGACAGTGTAATTCTGCGTGGGGCAGACATGTACGTCCCTTGTGAAGGACTCTGTTGGCATCATAAAATAGCTTTCCCTACACGTGACCCTTCACGGTCCTTTGCACCCTTTTGCACAGTCCTCACTTTTCTTCTTCAGCTCTCAGCCACATGGACCTCCTGTGGGTAGGAACTAGCCCTGCCTCTTTTCTGATGCTATGCACTCAAACAGTCCTCGGGGGACCAGAAAAGACACTTCCCTGAGAACAAAAAGAGGAAATGGAATGATGGATTGAAAAAGCAACTCAGTATCTGAGGTATTCAGTCATGTTGATTACATGAATGGTCGTTAGAATCAAGGCATTTGGTGGGCAGAGAGACAAGAAATAAACCACGTTTTTATGATACTGGGTTAAGTAAATACAGATAAAACAAAACATTTCCTCCAAGCCAAGGTCAGGAGGGTATTCTGTTTTTATTACTAATTTAAGACTCTGTAAAAGAAAACTTTAAATTTATATCAAAGACTCTAGACTTTCATTTGTTTTCTGGCCAAAGCCAGGCTTTTAGAAGTTATAACGCATTTGCAGGATTCTCACCAAACACTCAGTGGACCCTAACAAGCTCTGTTTCTTCTAGAGCTCCATTTGTTCCACAGGATCCTTCCCAACAGCACGTCACATACAAAAAGCCTAGCATTTATTTCATTTCCCATGACAAACTATTCCCAAAGAATTAGAACTCTGCACAGGTTAAAATTTATTTTTGTTGAAATTTTAAAAAAGTATTCATTTTATTCATATGTGTTTTGCCTGCATGTATGTATGTGTACCGTGTACGTGCCTGGTGACTATGGAGGTCAGAAGACACTGTAGGAACCCATAGAACTGAACCACCTGTGGATGCTGGGTCCTCTGCAAGCACAATACTCCTTTTAATCACTGAGGCTAGCTTGGTTAAAAAAGAATGCTTAACAGGACACAATTGAATCCACTGAAGATGGAAAAAAATATGACTATAAATGGCTATGAACTCATCAGTTTTTACATATAAACAGACCAATCAAGAGAGTACACAGAGAATAACACATTTTATTCACTCAGGAAAAAAAAATGAAAGAATGGTTTTAGAAACTGGTCACAAGGTTTAAATAAAGTTGGGGCTATGGACTATCCCCCTCCTGATCCGAGCATTGAGAGGAAGTAGAGACCCCACCTTAATTTGGGCTCACAAGTTTACAGTTTTCAGACCATCATCAATTGGCCACCTTGCCTCCTTGCATCAGAGTGATGGCGAGGTCGTATATCATGGCGGAAAAAAAAGCGAGTATTCCATCATCTGCCTCTATACACTGAGGTATCAACTGGGGACACCCCATTGATACCCTGAGGATCTCTCCTAACAGAAACAAGCTGGGGGCCAAACCTTAAACACATGTGCCCTTAAGCTATTTAGTGTTCACTTACAATTTACCTTTTATTTTAAGTGTATGCCTACAAACACGTACGTGTACTGCATGTCTACCTGATTCGTACAGACCTGATGTGCAGAGAAGCCAGCAGAGGGTGTCGGATTCCTGACAGCTGGAAGTACTCATGGCTGTGAGATGCCATGTGGTGCTAGGGCTAAACAAGGTGTAGCTCTTTCCTGGCACTGGAGGCTTCACTGGGCAGCACATGCTGTCTAGCTGGGGCATTGTCTTCCCTATTGTTTGGGTGATTCTGTTTATATTCCTTTTGCATGTAGATAGACTTTAGGAAGCTTCTGCAGTAGCAGGTTTCCACAGGGCTTTTCAAAGGACCATAGGTGTTGGCAATCCCTCTCCACATCCCCCACTTTACCCTGCCCTCACGCTATTCGACCCTCCTATCTTAGTTTTCCCTCCATTTCTCCATAACACTCAATTCTATATCTTCTTTTGGGGCAGTCCTCTACTCCTTCTGATTCCTTTCTAAGTATCTAATCTCTGTGGTTATTTGGATTGTAGCAAACAAACCAAAAGCTGGAAGCTGACATCCACGTATAAGAGAAAACATAGCATTTGTCTTGGAGGGGTTTCGGGCTCTACCTCCTCTTACAGAGAATTTGTTCATTGTTGCTCTATTCATAATAGCCAGAAATTAGAAACAGTTTAGATGTTCATAAACTAAAGAGTGGATAATGAACATGGGGCACATTTACACAATGGACTATTATTCAGCTGTCAAGAAAACTGAAATTACTAAATTTGCAAGAAAATGAATGGAGCTAGAAAAAAACAAAACAAAACAAAACAAAACAAAAAAAAAAATCAAGCTGAGTGGGATAATTCAGAACCCAAAAGACAAGTCTTACAGAATTTAAAAAAAAAAAACAACAAACTTTTAATTGTTAAAGTAGATAAACCTATCCTCTTCATTTTTCATTTTCCCTCCCTTTTGTCTTCATCCTTCCTATTCTTTATTCCTCTTTCTTCTTGTATGAGTCTTTTTTTTTCCTCTTTTCAATTTGCTCAGCTTTCTCCAATTCCCTCTGAAGGCCTGTTTTATAGAACTGACACCTCCTTTGTCTAAACTACTGATCCATCCAGGGAAGCCCTGGCCGGACATTGTAGCATTGTTTACAGGAAGCAGGTGACCTGAAGCCAAGGCTCCTTCACTGTCTTCCTGAGGCAGGACCCAAGGAACCACCACCTTCTGCACTATTTCAACTGGGGGGAAGTGGATTTTTAGTACAGGTCTGTGCCTCAGTCTTTAGCCAACCTTTATAGGAAGAGAAATCTCAGCGTTCAAACTTACAATGGGTCCCATGCATTTATAAAAGAGGCACTGAACATCATTTCTAAATTCTTTATAATTAGCATTCAATAACCTTTAAGGCATTTTGGAAGCCTGATCCTTTGAGTATTTATGGAGCCACTGAGTCACAGGATTCTAATCACTGAAGACATTGTAAAAATAACTGAATCTAATCTCATTTCTACAAATAAATTTTGATTCAACATGGATGGAATAAAAACAACTGCACAAAATACTAAGATCCCAAAACATAAAGAAAAATGATGACATAAAATACAAATGAAATGTATGTTTAAAAAATAAAACAGTTAAATCAAGCCCCCATTGCATAGACAGAAACTGAAACATTAACTACAGATAAAGCAAACTGAAAGGAAGCAGACACTGAAAGCAACATGATGGGTGTTCTGCCCAGATGTGATTTATTTAGCTGTTAACTTTCCTTCATATTTTCAGCTTTTCATTATGTTTTTCTGGCTTAAAACCTCATACTCAAAATTTACACTATAGCCATATTCTTAAAAAAAAAAAAAAAAGCAAAATATGTATATTCTAAAGGCAACCATCCTGTCTGGTTTGAGTGCTTCCACCATGTTTTTGTTCTGCTTGCTTTTTCCAGAAATCTGTTTCATAATGTTGACAACAGGGTTTCATGGCTCTCTGAACAC